GAATGGTGTAGTTCTGGGATTTGATCTTTAAGTGGCACCAGAGGGAGCTGTATGGGAGAGGGATGTGCTCCTTCTACACATCCAGCAACTGGAAATAGTCACAGCTCACTGATGTGTAGGGGCAGAGTGAATATTGCTGTGTAACAAAAAATAGAATTTGATGTAAAGAATGGGGCTGTTGGAAGCTCTGGGACAGCAGAAAATCTGGCAGTATAAGAGACAAGAGGAAGATATTTAAACATCATAATCTGATCTGCACTGTCATTAAAAAACCCTCTGAGTATAACTTCATTTCTTACAGTAACTAAAAAACTGCTAAACATATCATGTGCATTAGAAACAGTTCACTTCGAGTAAGTTTACTACAAAGCTGTATTACAAAGACTTGAGCAAAGCACTCCATATATTTGAAATGTGAGCGCAAAGTCTTTTAACCTTACAGAACAGAAGGAAAGGAGAACTGTAAGAGAACATGTAACCTACTTTAACTACACAATTTGGGGAAGTTAGTCTGGTTTCCTACAGTGGATTAGCTTATGACTGGAAGCATAAACAAAAGCTTATATTTTAAGTCTTTGAATAATCCAAAGTCTTGGCCAGCCTGTGGCATTGTTCAAAGAAACCTTAGTTACCCAGTCCCAGAAGTAAGCTGTAGAGGTGAACAACACCCTGATTTTCCACACGCAACTGAGAACCAACACAGCCCTGACGTGAGAAAAGTGGCAGATCTCAAAATCTAAGATTTGCATGTAGTTCTAACAATATTAGCACAAATGACAGCAGTAGCTAACATAGAAAATATTAAATGTTATGAAAGCCTTTGCTTCCAAGAGTGAGCAAAAGTGAGAGGCAGACACTTAAATAATGATTAGATCAAAAATCAGATGAATGACATGAACAATATGCACTGACTGTTATAACATTTCTTAAGATCAGAGCCTACAAGGTTAACGCCATTAGCACAGTGTGGGACAAGGAGCACCCGGTTCTGCTCATCAATTCTAGAACAAGACCCCAGCCCTATGTCTTTTAAGACAGCAGAGTGCCAATCTTTAAGATGTCAGAAAAAAATGTATTAGAAGTTATAGGCTATGTGAGGATTTAAAAAGTAAACAAAAAGGTTAATAAAATTTTATATTGGCCTCATTGGGGCTTCCATGATGTCAAATTAACTGCACAGGCTTCTGAAATACCACAGACAAGCTCAGTAAGAACAGGTAGGTGTATGTCCTGGTGACCAAAAAAGACAAAAATCTTTCAGACTTGTTTATATTTAAAGAATGTTAAATGATTTTTAACAATCAATTTCCTGGAACAGATATGCTAGAGAAATAGCTAAGTATTTGAATGACAAAGTCAAATTTGTTTAGCTAGATAAATATTCTAGGCTGCAATTTATTTGGCATAAGTTTAAGCAGGCCACAATAAAGTTGGTCTTCATTTTCCGTAATTCAATGGGAGAGCTGAAAGTCATTTTAAAATGTTACTGTCCATACTGAAAGGGACTGTTCGAGTGTCAGTTTCCATTTCATTGGTCGTATATCCTGTTATTTAATAGTGCAAAAAATAATCTAACAGTTCTAATAGTGACATTGGTAACCTACTGGTGTTTATGATAGAAAACTTGAAGCTGGAATACTGATAATGAAAGAAGCTGAAGGAAGAAACAGAAGGAAGATGGGATGTGCAAAACTAAAGGAAAAAACAACTTTAAAACACAGAGGTAGTGAGTACCTAGGAATTCATGCCTCTCTGAAAAAGAGGCAAGTGGAAATGAGTCACCACAGATATCAGAGATGACAGATGAGTTTACCGCTCCAGCCAGAGACAGTGAACAGAACACATGGCACCTTACCCAGCTCCCAGAAAGGAGGGAGCCCAGAAGCCTACAGAACAAGATGCAAGAGAGGTTGGTTGTTGCAAAACTGAGGCAAGATCACCAAGTCCCATGATATAAAACAGACAGAACAAATAGATTTTCCTGATCTGCAGTGGCACTGACATTTCACCTTGGAATCACCAAATGTCATTTGGAAGTTTAGTATCTGTGTCGGCCCCAGGTATTACCTGAAAATTTTAAAAATACCTATAAAATATTTAAGTGCTGCCCAGAAAGGAAGTGAAAGTACATTACGGAAGCCTATTTTACACACTAAAAGAGGCTAAGGACTTCCACATGGTCACTTATTCCACCTCAGCTGAAGGGCAGAAGCTCCTTTATCTGCTACAAGCTTTTTAGCAAGATATCTGACTGTATTCCAAAAGTCTACTAATAATGTAGTTAAGAAAGACCAAACAGGTTCTGTACTTGCTTTTACACCTGATATTTTTTCTTCTATTAGACAGAAGAATCTTTAATATCATGAAAGGAAAGGAATTATTCCTTCTCTGACAAAGCAGAGTAGGAAATAAGTACCTTTTTTCATCATTAATTCTATTAATCGCCCCAACAAGTGACAACACATAATGTAGTGTACCCATAAATGTAATTCTGAAGTTATGTAAGAGTATCTTCTGCTGCTTGAAACACAATAATATGTAAACTCAAATATATAGGAGTTACAAGATTTACAAAACACTTCTGCTGCAATAAAATGCTACTATTTAAAATGAACCATGCAATAGGAAAGGTTTCTTTTCACACCAGTTGTGTGCATATTTATTGGTATTCTCTGATAGAGTTCAGCATGAAGGCTGTATTGAGCATATATAGTTATTAGAAAAAAACCTTTCTTAGATTCAGATTTTTTCCAAGTATTTTAAATCAAGTAGTAAAGACTTGCTACAGAAAGAGCTGACTTTTCATTAGACTTTCACTTTATATGAATAAAATAATTTTGCTTTTGCTTGTTTAACTTCACATTTGCACTGCAGATAGTACTAGTCCTCTTCAAAGCAGCTTAGAAATCCTGGCAAATTATTTGTCCAACTGTGCAACTTGAACTACTAGTACATAAACTAGTAAAAAAGCAGAGGTAAGAATTTAAATCAGATTAAGCTTTTTTTAACCTCAACCAACCAATGTGTTCATAAGAAAAAAAGAAAGAATATGCCAACTATATTCATACATAACATAAAGCTAACTCACAAGAGGCCCAGGATTCAGCCATAGCGTTCCAGGGCTCATTGGCATCACTACAATAAATGAAGCATCAGCTATGAATGATGAGATGCCTTCAAGAAACTGACCCTGCTGACTGTAATGCGACCCTGAGCTGGAAATAGTACTGCTCACTCACCATCACTTCTATTTCCTTAGGGCGTCTACTCAGTCCTGTTTAAACATGCACCACAATGACAAGTGGAGATCTCTAAGTGATTCTCAGGGTTCACTCGCACAATTGTGTTAACGCAGTCTAATTTAATGCTGCTGTTGAAAAGCATAGTCCCAGCCAAATTCCTTTCCCCTTCCTTACCCTAGCATATAGCACTCATTTGGCTGAGCAGCAAGTCAGATAATGAACTTAATCCATCAAAAGTTAACTCTCCCTCCTCCCCCAAGCAAACCTTAAATCAACAGAAAAAAAAAGGGGTCCAAAACCCACAGCTGGGGATAGATGGGACTTCCCTATGTGCTGCAATGGTGGTTTCGGTAAGACTTAATCATTTGTGATGTTACACCACCATGCACTCAGACTGTGGGCTGACTTTTTGGTAGATAAATGTGCCTTCTGTTTAAGATAAAGAAGTACAATTCTTGGCCCAGAAATAAAATAACTTAAGAAAAACACATGTACATGGGCTCCTTTAGTAAGGCCAACATATATGACTTCCAACGAGTTATAAGAATACAAGTTCGCAGGACTGGGTTTTAATGAAAAGAGTATGAGAAGTGGGCACAACACAGAAGCACAGCTATCAACATAGCAGTAAGCCTGCACATCCCCCTGTCCTCCCAAGGGCCAAGAGAAGTTCTGTATAAAGAGCAAGGAGATGAAGAAATTCAAAATGTATACATGTTTAGTTTATCATTTACTGTATCTCTAGGTGCACTCTATTTTTATTACAATGAAGGATTAGAAATATCTTTACTTTTAAATGGAAATGTCTTATTCTGAGCTGAGAACCAATTGGGGTACTAGAACACATCAGGCAGGCTGTCTTCAGCCAGGGGAATTGCAACCTGACACGTTATGAATCAGGAAAGTAACCAATATTGATTTGAATTAGTGCTGATCTCCTATTCCTTAGGAAGGTCCAGGTGACACTTCCAGTCTTGATGCATTTTAAGTTTACATGTCTTGTAGAGGCAAACCAGACAAAGCCAGAGACTTATTTTCAAATGAGAGATTTCATAACAGAAACAGCCTATGTTTTTCTGAAGATTTGAAGTATTTTTAACCTTGTGTTCCTGAAAGTTGCCAAACTAGCTAGCCTGGATGCTAGAACCATTTGGTTAATGGAACAAAAGAATACCACAGGCAGACAGGCTTCCTCAGGCTGCAGAGTAAACGTGATTTCAGACTCTACCACCCCAGTCTTTAGTGTCTCTCTGCAGAGAATACCACAAAGCATCATTTAACAGCAGCCTCAAACTACAAGGAGACAATGAGCCCATTTCAAAGCAGCTGTCAGTCATTCAGCCAGCTGACAAGACTAGATTAAAATCTATAAGCAGAGGCAAATGGTCCTATCTCATTTGCAGATTGCTGGTTTCTAGATTTGTAGGTTAATTTAATTCCTGCTCTCTAAGCTCTGCTTATAAGTTAAGCATCTTGCAAAAGCTTAAATTATTTGCAGGTGTATGTCTATATCTTTATGCTACTTACAGTCTATTCAGAGTCAGTGAAGTTTTGTTAGAATACAGTTTTACATATTTCTTTATACTTCCAGAAGCAAGGAAGAGGGAATGCTATCTTTTATCATTCTAACATTGTTAGATAAAGAGAAAAGGTAAGTTTTTAGGTCACAACTTCAACTCTGAAACAGAATCAGCAAACTTGGAAATAAATACAGATCAGAACCTGAGACAAACAGCAAGGACAGAAAAACCCTCTTACCTATGAGAAGGTATTTCTCATGGAACTACCACTCCAGCTCCAATATCTCAGCTCTGATCCTGGGCTGCTTTCCAAAGATGAGTCTAGGAAGAACAATACACAGTTTCATTACACTACATAGTGAAACTCAAATTCAGTGCAGAGCATTTTTGTCATACCTTGCCTGCTGTTCCACAAGTGCCGACTCTGTACCCTACAGCTCTAACAGCTTCACTGCTTCTCTCCTTGCCATCAGGCTGCTCTGCTTCACAGGTGCTAATTATCCTCCTCCCAACTTGTTTAAGGGGCTTAATCTCAAAATAGTCGCTCTTTACCTGTATTTTGCTTGAGGTTTAACAATTCTGCTCCAGAAAATTTCATTCTTTCCACAGCTTGTCTGTACTTTCCAGCATATCAGTGCTCTATAAGAGAAAATCTCTCATCCTTATACCACTGTAGCTTCACAACAATACTACTACTTACTCTTCAGTATACCTTGATTACCTTTTTTCCATGAACTATTTATGGAATTTATCACAGATTAGGGAAATGGGACACACGTGCACACACAAACACAGAGCTGGGTGTATGCAAGGGAGAATACATCTTGTAATCAGTTTTAGTGTTGGATGTATTCCCAGACTTAAAGCTTTCTGGAAGGCTAGTGTGTATAAGCTATCCTGATCAGGGAGCAGCCAGGGTTGGGCTGCTCTGCCAAGGCAGGTGAGCCAGGAGCCAAGGGCACCAGGCAGGCAGGGGCAATAGCCACCCCGGCCAGGGGGCAGCCCTGCAGCACCTCACACCAGCCAGCAGGGTAGGCCCAAGGACAGCAACCAGGGTCAGCCAGGAGTTGGGTAACTGCCAGGCAAGTCTGCAGTAATGAGGCAGGTCCAAGATGAAATCAGGAAGTACAGTCAGCAAGGTAAGGTCAGCACAGCAAAGGAAGGAGGCCTGGCACAGGCAAATCTACAATATGGCTTAGGTAATGGCCTGACATTAGACACAGTTTCTAAGCCAGGGGCCAGAGGCTTCTAACAGCTCTCACCACAGCAGAGCTAGTCAAGGATACAGAACTGCACTGCATCAGAGCTGGCCTTGAGCACAGGCAACTACACACCTGCAAGGGGGCAGAGGCTGTTGGTGCATTCAGGCCTCTGACAATCCTATCTTGCCCATTGGGAGTACAGCTTTGTAAAGAATATGGGCTTTCAGTGGGACCTGTAGTCAAAGGAGAAGCAGGGTCCTTGATATGGGTCCATCACATCTAAGACTAAAAAATGAGGGCTAGAACTTTTCAGGTACTGTAATATTTGAAGAGAAATTGATGCATGTTAACTTTTTGTACTTATCTTTTAGTTCTTCACAGTAGTGAAATTGCATGTTTCTCCCAATGTGCTATTTCATTTATTTATGCTCTTTATCCTATTCTTACCCTGTTACCTGTATTTTAATCCATCTTTTCTTTTCTCTTACAGGCATTTATCATCAAAATAAAGAGATTAGAGATTAACAGCAGAACCTGAATGCTAAGAACAATCATTTAAAACATTTTCCTTTAACCAGGAAGGATATCTAAGTTATGTCTTTCAAACAAGTCTTATAAAAGTCTCTGTTCAAATAGAAAGAGAGAGAATGGAGGATGAGAAAAATCACTGCAGACTTGATCAAGAAAGTTTTCATTGTATTCATTCACACCAGTTCAATTCCTTTGTGTAAATGTGTAGGCATAACAAATCAGCAACATAATTTGGTTGATAAACAATGCAGTAGAAGTTATTTAAAAGAAAACTGCAAAACCAAATTGATTGCTAATATGAAGGCACTCAGGGAAGTTACAAGTTACGAAGTTACCATATCACCTTCTGATCCTTGCTTTCACTTTTGACAATTAAATGGCTGTTTTGCACAGCTCTTATGTCTTTGGGGAGGGGAGAAGCCACCCCACTATCATGCTGCCATACCAAAAAGATGAATAAAGACAGATTGTGGAAGGTTTTAAGTACAATATTTGGCATGAAGAGCAATTTGCTCAAACTATTTCTAGTGCTTTAATTTTCCCTTCAAAGAGATACTGCAGTCTAGAACCTACCTTCAGACATGAAAGGCTGCCCAGAGCTGGGGAACAGACCCAGCTCTTCCCAGAAGAGCCTGTTCCCACTGCCTTGGTGAGGAGGGGGCAAGCTAGGGCACAGATAAGTGACCTGTGAATCTGGGAAGCAGATGTGCCCTTTCCTTACCACTGTCCTATGATACACTGTGCTGAGATAAGCCAACAGTCACGGGAGCTACAGCTCAGGCCGGGGGACTAGGTTCTGCCTTCCACTGAATTCCCTTGCCTAGATGCCATTTACTGAGTCTTTTTGAGATAGAGGTGTCAGCACTGTACCAGGCATTCCCAGGAACAGAAGTCTTCCGGCCTGCTGCTACTGAACAGCACGTGGCTGTGATTTTTTCAGATTGTACCAATAATACCTTGGTAAAGCAACTAATTAAATTAGGATGGAGCTGAAATTTATACCCATTTTCATTACTAAGTGACTTAAAATCCCCTATCAGAAAGTAGAAGTTATGGGCCACATAATATCAAAGCGCTAAGCTATTGAAACAGGAGCTGAGAAGAGACTATCACCATTTAATGAGTTATCAGCTCTGAAAATTGTGTCTTCAGTTTGTGTTGCATATTTTAACTCTTTATGGCTTTTACTGTCAGAAATGCCTTGACGTACTTAATATGTCACAAGTCTTAGCATTGTCCAGGTAACCTCTGTTTTGTCATTATGGCAGCTTAAATGACTCCCATAAAAATAAAACAAGAAATACTTTCCTGCTCTAATCATCAGTATAAAAATTCAGGACAGAGAGAAGAGTGGAAACCACTATTTTCCAATGCCATAGTTGGAAAGGCATTTATTTATTTTAATCAGCATTATTGCTACTTCCAAGGCTATCTAACTGACATTTGTCTACGTTTTGGTTTTAGAAAATAAGTTTTTTGAGTGGGAAGTCCCAGAAATTTGTTAGGGGGAGTCCTAGGTTCTAGCTCATGTCCTGAAACAGTTCTTCTGTTCCTGATCAGCATTGGCCCCATCTGGAGAGGCAAACAAAGTAACTCAGGGAATGGACATTGCTCTGAATAACATGGTTATTCTTATTCTTTTTATGGGCAAGTCAGGAGGAAAGCTGGCTATCCCTGCCACCTGTTTGTGTGCCATGGCCATTGGGCCTCCTTACATTCTCTCTGCACTTTTAACATTAGAATGTGAATCTTACATGTAAAAATTACCTTATTGGGTACTTTTAGGTTCAAAAACAAATATTACATACTTACAAATCTGATACCAAGTTCACTTCCGTTTCATCAAATTCACATAAGCAATTACCTCCCAGTAAGTATAGTAAAGAAAGATCAGAATAGAGATCAACCCCTATGCATCTTGAGGATATCCTATCAGTTAGGCCTGTTACTAGGCTACTGATAAAATATCAGTTCTTACAGTGCAGTGGATATTCAGATGTTATCATTAGTGCTCCTACAGGCAAGATGCACCAATTTTTTTTTAAATGCATAATCTTTGAAATCACAGAGGGAAAGCTTAAGGCAACTATTTTTCTTGCCTTTATATAAAAGCAGGTAGTTCACCAATTGATGCAGCTATTGTATAGTACAAATCACCTGTTTCCTAGGAGTTGACATCATTACCCATGTGATTACTTGGGCATAGCTTTGGCTCTATGCTCCTATTGTTTTTAGCCAATTTCTTCCTATACAATCCATGATAGCACACCAAGGAGACAGTGTGATATGCTATTCCACTCTGTCTCAAGTCTCCTCTTTTTCCGTGCTTTGATCAATCTTTTTATCTCTGGTAATGAATTCACAAATTAAGGAGCTTTTGCTTGTCTCAAGATGTATCATGCAACTTAAGATGGGAATTTTATTCTCTCATAATAAAAACTATCAACCAACCAAGGAAAATTATGTAGTGCTATGTTTATACATAGCACCAAGAAATGAAAAGGCAAGTAATTCTTCTTGAATTACTTGTAAGAATAGCACAGCCTGCAGCTAAAGAAACAAACAAAACAAAAAGAATCAGTTTCATGTCAATCCCTATCCTGTTGATTCTATTGTGCAATGTTAATGATACTCTTTGTATTACTAAGATTAGAACAATGATTAAAAAGAGTCAATTCTATGTCTTGGCAAGGAGATACTTCTTTACTCCCTTATAGAGTCCTTACACTACAAAAAGGTAAGAATAACTGATCCCAAACCCTCTGTTCCTGGCTAGAACAGCAGAGAAACACCCAGCCCCAGGAAAAGTCTGGGCAGGTACAGCTTTGACTTCCTACATACCTCAGTGTTCCAGATGCAAGTCATCAAGACTTCCCATATGAAGACAAGGAACATGATTTGCAATCAGCCTGCTGCTGGGAGTCTCTTGAAAAAAAACAGTGGTACATTTCCACATCATGATCATCTGTGTGGTTCCACCTTATTCATTTTAAGTGAACTGGACATAGCTTGGCAATGTTTTACTCAAGTTAAAACCATGCAGTCAGAGGATATTGTGCATTGTGTGTGAAGCTCTGTATGAATAAATAAGCATTTATTGAGATTTCAGTGTTACTCAAGCTTTAGAATTAAAAGAACTTCTTAGCCAGTATTTCAGTTTCACTGTTCACCAAAAAGAAAATTTCTTCAAACTGGAAAAAAGCTAGGAAATAAGCAAGCACAGAGCAGTACCAGCCCTCTCCCTGGAAGTCTTTTACTCATGGAAAGGTATGGTCTGATCTTAACTTAAGATCTGTTAGAGGAGTGTCTTCAGCCACAACAGTCAAGTTGGTGTTTCATATACTCCTTTTTCAGGAATATCTTACAAGGAAAGAAACATCATGGTGCTTTCAAAGGATGTATTAATGCAACATTCTTTGCCCTTTCCATTGCATGTCCTGAATTAACACTCTTTGCTGTGTGTTTAGTTCTTTCATTCTTTGGTGGGAGGAAGAGTGAAGTTTGGTACCTACCATGCCCTTACTCAAAAGTTATTTACTAGAAAGACACCAGGACGAATACAGACATTCCAGGAGGATGGCAGAAAGC